AAAAGTAATTATATTCATATTTAGTTGAATTCATAAGTAAATGATACAACTCCATAAACATTAATTACACTGAAGAAGAGCAGGAAGGACTATTAGAAAGTCTTTTCTGAAATTACAGCAACACTGACCAAACTGACAGCAAGTTGGGCTCACCCACCTTCCCCCATCAGGCTGCTCTGACTCACCATGTTTCTTCTGTATCACTAAAGAACAAAGACATCAACAAAAGCCACGTTACAGTGGCAAGGGAAAGCAGACACGTGTAACACTGATATTTGTACTATGAACATCTTCTCCCAACCAGAGCTCTGAGGTAACCAGTAAACACAGTACTTTTTCCCACAGTACCTTCTGAATCTCTACTTGAAGCACAGCCTATTAGCAAGATAGAGCACTGAGCTTAATTAAGAACAGAAATTGGTAACACAGAAAGTATAAGGAAGGTTTTTGCAGTTTTCATTCTTGGTTCAAATTTCTTCCCCAGAATTGCTTCCAATAAAAATGAAAGCTTAATGCAAAAATAAGTTACCCAGTCATATTATTCTGTTGCTAGAGGATTTAACGTGCTTTTCAAACATCTCCAGTTTCTTGAGGACACGATCTTCTATCGAAGCGTCTGCCACAGCTGAAAGTCTGGTCACGTGGACGTTTGGAAGACAAGTCCAAGATTTTTAACGTTATTGCTCTTTCTTCTACAACCATTTTGATTTTAAAGAAAGTCTAGATTAACTCAGGCTGGTCAGTAAATAAAGCTGAATAAATCTGCTCATTGTGTGAAACAAGGAAACTAATGGACAGGAGGTAACATTCCCTCTCCACCACCACAATGGGAAAGAAAGCAACGGTGACTGATACAGGTTACCAGCTTTGGGTGCACCTAACCTTGTCCCAGGTGGTCCAGCCCATAGATTTCACCACCTCAGACAGTTTTGCTACACTGACAGAGGAATGTTTCAGCTGGTGCAGTCTACACCCCCAGCCAACTACTGTTCTGCTGCATCCTAATAACATCATCTTTTCGAATCTAATTTGTGTCACTGACTATTAATTTAAAACCTACTGGCTAGAAAAAAAAAATATACACTTTATCTCGCTTTCTTTTATTATCTCAATTACTACCCAGCCCTTGCATCGAAAGCACAAAACATGTTTTCTTACACTGCAGGACCAACGTTGCAGTATCTGTACTTTCTGCCAGAAAGAGGCAGAAAAAGCCATTAGCATAAGGCTTTTCAGCTATACTGAAACTATTTCCAGCATTTCCTTTCAAAGCCCCAAATTGATAATTCTATTGAAATACTTCTTCTGCATTTGTTTTTTTCCATACAATTTGCTCTGGCAGCACAAATGAGGCAGTGATCAGCCTACTGCCATGTGCAACCTCTGATCTATCACTACAGATATCCCAAAAGAAAGCTTTCCTTTCGTATTTTTAATTTTAGTACATTAACACAGCAAGGCTTTTAAAGCCTAGTATTTAAGATATGCTGTCAGACACTGAATGCTGTCCTAGATGACTCAAGAGCCAGCTTTCTGCAATTCCAAAGGATCACTGAAATAACACAGACAACAAAAAAGAGCAATTCTGACTCTTCTCGCACAAATACAGTGATTCATTTATTTTAAAGACTTCAGCCCTGCCATATCAATTTATAATCAAAATGGAATTTTTCTTTTTGTTTTGTTATTTTCTGGTTCTGTATTAACTGCAGTAAATGTTTCATCAGAAAGAGAAAACTCCCTCTAAACTCATTATCTACAACCTAAGTACCAAGGCAGGCGACAGGAAGCCCATGCAGTGATCTAACCCCCGACACAGTATTTGCAGAAATCCCAGGGGTGCTGGGCACAATAATAAATTTTAAATATTTCCCAGATGAAGAGTGAACTTATAACCTTCTCAGTATTTAACTGCCACTACTGCTCTTCCAGGCCACAGGTTTTAGATCGAACAGAAGCCAGCTGACTGCATTTTAGATACATTTACTACTTGTTTCCCTAGCTTTCCTTTCATCACTTCCCACTCTTATCTAGCGGAAATACTACAGATTCTTTCATTGCTGGTGAGAGCAAAACACGTTTTTCCAGGGCTCTCAATTCATTACACATGTTGTAAATAAAACTGGTACCAAATGCCATTCCTCCTGCTGACAGCAAGGGGAAGGAACGTTGTCAACACAGCACACAGAAATTTGACTCTGTACCAAAGATTTGCAGACGCCAGATTATTGCCTCCCTTCACGGGAAGGAACCTACCCTGGCAAAGGGACCTTCAAGGTCCTGGGCCTGAGACTATGATGACAAATGCTTTCTGCACCCGGGATGAACACAGAGAAAAACGAAAAAAAAAAAAAAAAAAAAAAAAAACCAAACGTACAGAGCTGTACACACAATTCATCCATTTGGTATTTGTCCCTGAAGACTATCTCAAATATGGATGGCATTCAGAAATGGAAAGCTGCAACTCTCAGCTGCAGGTATCTCCCCAGGATATTTCATGTTCTCTTCCATCTTCATGCCACTTCTCAAACACGCAAGTCAAAAATTTAGTGACACACAGGCACATGAAATCTCCAGTTTGCACCCACATCACTAGGAAACATTTCTGTAACTCTTGGATGCAGTCTTGTGAATTTGCTTCAAGATGTCTCCACACTTTGTGGCATCTTCCCCTTTCTATGGAAAAGGCCTGAAAATGTGGCTTCCAAGAGGTCCATTACTGAGCTGTTCAGCCAGTTGCTTCCTAACCCATTTCAGTCTAACCTATACCAAAACCCAACACCTTCCAAGACATATTTCAATTTTTTTAGTATTTTGAATTACCTGTGTATTTCTCAAAAAAATCCCTTTGTACAATATCAAAGAAGAATCAGGTTTAACAAAGAGTTGAGACTCCAAGATGTTTTACAGGTAAAAGTACAAAGAATATTAATGCCAAAACCAGCTGTTCATTTACTATTCATTCTTTTTTCCTCAAAAATATAGGTTACATAAAAAAATTTAGTTTTTTCTTCTCTACAAACCAACCTAAAATGTAAATTGTTTCTCAACTGCAAACACTTTCAATACCACTATTTACCTTCTCCAGTAGGGAAATGTTGCTTTCCCCACTATTCTTACAATCTGTATGGCAGGTTACTTGGCATATACTCAGGACATCTTCATCAAAATATTCCATTAATTTTCCATCACCTTCTAAAGGAAATGAAATTTATCCTAACTCTAGATCCCAGATATACTTTGTAGACAAAGACTGAGGACATAAATTTGTGTAATATGCTCCTTTCCAGGCTTCTCTATTCCTTAAAGGATATAAGAAATCTGGTCTCAGAACAAAATACACATTTAACGAGCATTCTTTTTATTCTGTGCACAACTTAAGCTTACAACCAGACAAAGCGAGTTGTTTCTAGCTACCTGCAAATTTCAGTCTGTACCAGGTACCGCAGGGAGGTCTCAGTTCATAGGTGCCAACAGGAACATTCTTTAACTGTCCTAACACTGTCAAACTATGCCACCACACCCAAAGCAAAGCAGAGATTCACAAATGCCTCACTGAATTGCCACCAGGAGACATTAGCAGAAGGAAACAAAGATAGATTTTGCCTTAGTACAACCTCCAGTACACTGCTGAAATCTTCCAACAAAAAAACCCAGGTGCTTCAAGCATGAGATGCAGAAAAATAGATGAGAGAAGGGAATTCAATGCCCCAAAAATGGATTTTTTATGAGCTTCTGCCAGGCTCATTTCTAAGAATGACAGAGGAAGCTTAAACGAAGAAAATCATGCAGTTATTAGGTGTAAGGAGATGACAATTTTTCTAGTTGAGAAGATGATGGTACAGTGATCAGCTAACAGTTACCCAAACGGTTCAACCCCTCACCAAATAAGAGTCATGCAGAAATAGCACTACTCTCCACAGTGACCTCCCAGAGGAAAGCAGAGTTAAGATTAGTACTAAGAAGTAAAAACAGAAATGCAACTTTCCAAAATGCATTCTATACATACTTTAATATATTTTAATACTCAAGCATTAATTTTTTTTTTTTTTGGAAGGCATATAAGAAAAATTCAGCATAAAAAAAAAAACCCTGTCAGAACACATTCTCAGTCTTTACACTCAAAGAAAACACACTACTTTAGAGAAGGAGCAAAGAGTAATCTCAAGATCACTTCCAACCCCCGAGTGACCTGGCTGTATATCCTACATGAAGGCTATAATCTCAGTTCTACCTAAGACTTGCTTAGCTTAATTGCATCACACCATTAATGTTATTAATTTCTTCCATTGCCCATAAAACTCAAAGCCTCATGCCAGTTCTGTGAAGTATGCAGGTTGGACCCAAATTAAACACAGCACACAGCGAGTTGTGTAAAACCATCACAAAGGAGCACCAAGTATGGAAGTATTTAAAAAGACAGAGCACCTATCTTTATCCTTTTGGCCCAAGAAATAAGGTAAGAAACCTCGTTAAGGTTCACTTTTACAGAGATGTGTTAAATATGGGTGTGACATAATGAGAAATGCTGCGTGTGCAGATATAAGCCTGCCTTTATACACCACGTCCCTAAAGAGGAAGAATTCCCTTTAATGTTTAAATGCATTTTTAAAAGTTTTTAATTACCGAGCAGCTCCGCGACCAACCCGCTTTGAAAACTTGTTGACCTTTCTTAATTTTTTTTTTTTTTTTAAACCAAACCAAAGTTCTCCAGGGTACCACATCATGTAAAAACATGCCCTTTTCTTTTTTGTCATAAAGGTTTTTCCTAGAAGTAAACCTTTTCTAATGGTTGTTCAGTGATTAAATTCATCCCTTCAGACATACTTCTAAAAGAAATTCTAAGAAATTAGAAGCAGTTTGAATAATAAGATGGAGGAACACAACATGACATAACAGAACACTGGGGAGGGTGGGGTTTCGGGGGAGGATTTTGTTAGCTGGTTTTTAACTGATTACACAACAAGACTCTAAGGAACCCGAGGCTCTACTTGCCCTACCTTGGACTGCGAGCTCGGCGCGGGCCTCGATGGTCTGGTTGCCGCTCTCGGCGAGGCAGGTGTAGGTCCCGGCGTCCTCCTCCGCCACGGTGCTCAGGGCCAGGCTGCCGCCTGCCACCACCGCCAGCCCCCCGGACCTGTGCACAACGGGACAGACTGTCACTCCACGGACCAACAGACACAAGCCCTCTGCCTGAAACAGCCACAGAAACTGAAGCAGCACTGGCATATGATATTCCTGGGTGCCAGCTGCAAGGAGCCACGTTAGGGAGGAACTGTTTAACTAGGTGGTCAAATTCCACACGTTGGCTTCACATATGATACTGAGTTCAACTCTTATCAACTCCACAGGAGCAGCTCAGCATTTTGCACTATGGGCTTCAGTTATTCTTGTTTAAATGCCATCCAAATTATGAGACAATAGGAATTGCAACTTAAAAAAAAAAAAAAATAACACAACCACAACATAAAAAACCCCAAAGGTTTTACAGAAATAGCTGGAATATTGCTTGAGGAGTTAACTGTAACATGCCAGACTTCAGCCTGTACACCATAAGGAAGCTCAGTGTACACTGTCTAACACAGTAACTGAATGTTTGGAAGAAGTTTGCCAAGATTTTAGAATAAGATACAGGTTAATAACTTTTCAAAAGACAAATCCAACAAGTTGGCAAAGTCTCCCAAAATTCTTCAATTGTTCCAAGCACGCACAATGAAATATCAGTCATGTTACCCTTGAATATGGATTTATGATACTACTGCAATTTTTGGTAAAATTTTAGACTCAATACATTTAAAACAAAATATTTATTGAAATAAAGTGAAAGAAACTAGTCTAAGAAGCATCCAGGGAGATGTCCCACTTGGGTATACCACAAGGAAAAAGATCTTGTTTCCCTGATCTAATAACAGGAAGACTACAAGAATTTTTTTTTTTATATGAAGCATAGGGAATGTGAGTGAAGTTATTAATAAGTCTGGAAAACAACATATTAGGAGATGTAAAAAGAATAATACCTGACAAAATAGTAGAGGAGTGTGTGAACAGCACTGCAAACAGGTTCTAGCTAAGAGGAAAACAGCAAGACCTTTGTCATTCAGCCTTTTTTTTTTTTTTTCCCCCCAACCGCCCAACAGTGGTTGAAGGACAGAAAGCAAGGAGATGAGAAGATACATCTTGGATTGTTTTGACAGCATTTGTCATTGCTGCCAAAAAAAGGCAGAAGCCTCCTATCACAGATCAGATGAAAAATTAATATGAGGAAAAAAATAGGAGCTTTAGGGGTTAGCAAATATAGTGAAGGAAGATGTGTCTCATAGTCCAGGCTGGAAGGGGCTGTGAGCAACCTGGTCTAGTGGGAGGTGTCCCCGTCCATGGCAAGGGGATTGGAACCAGATAATTTATAAGGCTCATTCCAACCCAAACCATTCTATGACTCTAGGACAGTTCAAGCAAGAAAAAAAGTGTACAAAGGAGATGTGAACAGGAGCTGCAAAGACGTTATCACCTTTCCCCCCCCCCCTTCTACTTCATTGTATACTATTTATCTGCATTCTATCCAGGCAAATTTATTAGATTCAAAACACACGTGTCTGTTGAGGCAGGCTTACACAAAGAAACAACCTAGAAGCCTTGACTATATCACCCTCAAAGGCAAATCTGACCAACTAAGAAAGTTTAAGACTCTTTAAAAAGATCTAAAAAAAAAAAAATGATGCTTGGTCTTCCCAATTCTTGAACCTCGTTGTCAGCATCTAATCATCAACAGTGCATAAACATGGAAGAGCTTTCCAAACATCGTCAAAGCAAACAGAAACAATGGCACTGAAGCTTATTTGTGAGAATAGCACATTAGACGTGTTCAAGCTGCACTAAAACCATGCCTAAAAAAAGATGACAAAGTAAAACAAGTCTGGACCTCAACACATCCACATGTGTGGTTTCATATCTCCTTTTATTATGTAAAACAGCTTCTTAGATTATTTGTTCTAGCATTCGTGGTGAATTAAATTAATCTGAGTAGCATGTCATCTGCTGAGGGCTGAGACGAATGCCGAAAGAAATGGAGCCAACCGGAAAACGTGCTAGATCTACCAGTGACAGGCACAAACTAAGAAGGAAGGTTGTCCACAGCAAAGGAATGATAAAAGGTTGCACAGACTGGTGGTGTCATTCTGATGACAGAGTGCATTTTTCTGAGTATCTACCAATTTCCATAGTTATCCATCTAAAAGCACCATGCGCCTTACGATGCTCGTTTTCTCATTGCCAGCCCTTGGAAAAGCAAAGGAACATGTGCATGGTAAGGCAGGAGACTCATGGTTACTAACCAGCAATTAAGAGGTTAGTAAAACTACAAGAAATTACTCAATGTTGTCACATTAGGCAACAAAAGTTTGTACTGTGGAATCTTACAAACTGCCTGTGACATAATAGCATTCACAGGAATTCTCCTTGCTGTCAAGAAACAAGGTTATATAATTTTCAGCCATCCAAATCCTTTGCTGTGCTTTTATTGTCTTTGTTTTCCTCAAGAAAGCCTCGAGGAGTGTCCAGAGTTTACCAATATGTGATCCAATGCAAGCTCACCGTTGTTAAAAACACGGAAGGAAACAACTACTATGTCAGACTCCTCCGTGATTCCTTCTACAGGCATTAGCTGTGGAAGAACTCCGGGCTTCAAGCAAAACGGCTTTTGTAATAAAGTAAAAACATCTTAATTTTGTAAGGACAAGGAAGCATTTCCACAACAGAGCTAAGCAATCAGATTTCAGGCACTGGAGACAAAGAATCAGCTTAATAGAAAAGCGATAACGTAATTTAAAGTGTCATTAAAAACAACAAAGATTGATCATTCGAGTGTCAGGGAACAGCAAAATCAAATTCAAGCCTTTTGTACACGTCCCGTGCATCCCTCAGTGACACACTCACAGCACACAATGACTTGAGCTCCTTTGGATGCCCCACTCACACGATTTTTTGGGTTTCATTATCACAAGATACAGTCAGCCTGCATTAATTTACTGTATTCAAACAGGCAGATATACCCTGAGATCTTGGCTTTTCTTTTATCCCCTTTTTAAAATTACTATTCCCAAAACATCTCATAATCTATTTGCAGTCTCAATAAAGTACAGCAGACAAAATTAGACAGTAAATTAGATTATATTGTGGAATCTACTACCAGAAAAAAATCTGTGTAATTACTTTGCTATGTTTAACCTTTACCGAGTTGGGCAAGTGTAATTCACTTAATACAAATCACCCCAAGTGCCTGGCAAACTATAATACGGAATGATTAAAAATATCACAGTCATGTGAAGTATTAAAAAAAAAAAAGCTGCATTAAGAACTTGTATGTGATCATATAATTAAAAGACTTCATTTGAACAGCACACAGTATAAAGATGAGTGCTGCATGGGCAACCTCAGTTTTGTCACCTCTTTGCTTCAGAAAATGATGAGCAATGCAGCCTCGTGCTGGAAAGGCTTCAAAGCAGAACATCTTCCAAACATGTGAAACACGTTGCCTGTCTCCCAAGCTCTGAAAACCCATTCTTGGCAGCCACCTCGCCTGACACTTCACTTTTCAACTTCAGAATCATCACAAAGCACAAGATGACTCCTGCGTTTGCCAACAACTAGCCCCTCAACACAGTAGGAGCCTTAGTCAGATATGACAATAAAAAAACCCACCAAAACAAATTATGAAAGTCTCAAAGTTAGCAAAATTTGAAAAACTATTCAACCTGTATGTAACATTTCTATTACGGCCTTCTATATCACATAATATTGACAATAAGGTAGATTTTATTTTAGAAATGCTACACCTTGAATCCTGGATTGTTTTGGGCCCCTCACTCCAAGAAGGGCTGTGAGGGACTGGAGACTGTGAAGAGAAGGGCGACGAAGCTGGGGAAGTGTCTAGAGCCCAAGTGTGGGTAGGAGCAGCTGAGGGACCTGGGCGTGCTGAGCCCGGAGCAAAGGAGGCTCAGGGGAGACCTTCTGGCTCTCCACAGCTCCCTGACAGGAGGCTGGAGCCAGGTGGAGATGGGGCTCTTCTCCCAAGGAACAAGTGACAGGACAAGAGGAAACAGCCTCAAGTTGCCCCAGGGGAGACTGAGGTACAATTTTTTCCCCAAAAGGGTTGTGAAGGGCTGTGCCAGGCTGCCCAGGGCAGTGGTGGAGTCCCCATCCCTGGAGGGGTTTCCAAGCCGTGGAGATGTGGTGCTGAGGGACATGGGTCAGTGGGGACCTGGCAATGCTGGGTTAACAGCTGGTTATCAAGGTCTCTGCCAATCAGAACAATTCTACGATTCTAATGTTTTCTGTTGTCCTGGTTCCGTGTAAAAAGGGGTTCAGGGCAGGACCCACACGGAACAGAACTATGTACTCGCCTCTCCCCCCCCAAGAGAGCGAGACACTTTGGAAAAAAAATTAAGTATATTGTTTAACAAGGAATAGAAAACGAAAAAGGGAGGTAAGGAAAATAATATATACAAAGATTAGGGGAAAAAATACAAAAAAATAAAATACACAAAACCCTCAGAAATGGTTCCAAGGTCCCACGGAGTGAAAGGACAACTTCCCTCTCCGAGCTGCAGGGCAGGAGTGAGATTAGCACCCACTTCCTGCCTCTTATCAGAGTGTGTGTGGGAAGGGGAGGGAATACAATGGTTAACCCCCACCCGGGGTCCTCCCAGTTGCTGGAAGGTCACGCCCCCATTCCAAGCCTCAAACCACAACATCTGTAAAGGACAACTTTTTATTCAAATAGCTGTATAGTTTGGTGGCTTTCCCGACTTCCTTTCATTTCTCTCAATACTTTCTATGTTCCTGGCAGAGACATTACTCATTCCAAGTTTACAGAGGAAATCCAGCCAAAAAAATAGAGCGTATATTCAAATTCCCGAATCACAGGCATGGCAGGGTGCATGTGCATATTTGAGCAGTATACCCAACATCAAAAGATTACACACACACACACAAACTCACACACCTCTAGAGGCACTCTTCATATTTTGAACCTCTAGTTTGGAGCTACAAACATTGGCACCGTAAATCTCAACCTAGAGCAGGGTTTAGGCTTTTTCTTTCTTTTCAAACAATGTAGTTTTGAGAGATTTATTCCTTATCATCAAGATAACTCACTAGACTAGTAAGCCAACTCAGTGAAAAGCTTCCAACACAAGCCCAGAGTTTTTCCCAGTGACAAGTTATCCAGTCTAATGTCTAACTTTGTAATTTCCAGCCCCCACCCCCGAAAAAAAACCAAACCTGCAAATGCATTAAAAAAGGCCTCAAAGGAGCAGATCACAGCTGGACAGCAATGCCTGGAGAGGGCACATGGATGGTGGGAGTGTCCAGACACCTTTCCTCCAAATAATCTTTTCCTCTTAACTTCAGAAGTCTGAGATTTCCCCATATGGAACTTGTCCTGGTGCTATTCATAGTCTCCGATGGTTACAAGGAACCAGAAAGTTAGCAGCCTAACTGGTACTTGTATTTCTTTAAAATCTTTAAGTTAACAAGTTCTGAAAGAACTCCTTGAAATTTTAAGTTTTACTACAATGGAAACTTGTAGTGTTGCATTGGCTTCACCAGTTTTTTACCCAATACTCAAAGCCTCCTTCTCTTTCATTCTAATTACTTTGGAAAATATTTCATTGTAGCAAACTAATTTCACAATATATTGCATTAAAGGCTGCTTTTGAACAAGAGCCAGGACTGCCATCATTCAAGTTTACTCCTATTTATCCATTAACATAAATTTTGCAGTCTTTCACAAATACTCCATCAAAATTACACCTCTCCTTTTTTCCAAACCTTATACTAAGTATTTAACTGTAAAACCCCACCACCCCCAATCCTAAAAAAGAATCTATTTTTCCAATAAATCTAGGCTCCTACACATATTCTCCTTAGCCACACAGCTTGAAAGGACAAGATTTAATTTTGTATTAGACTACATGATTTAGGCAAACAACCTTCTCTTCAGTTTTGTCTTTTTTAACTGTGGCAATTAACCAGGGATAACTAATGGGGACATACCTGACCATGCTATCCGAGTTTTGTTTCTCAGTCCCACACATACACATGCTCAGCCATGTATCAGTATGTACGTGTAGACATGTCTGTATACCTACATGTATGTATGTTAATGTCTGTAGTGTGTGTATACAAGCAAAAAAACCCCCATCATTTAAAAGCTTTTTCCAGGCAAAAGGAATGGTAAAACCTGCCCAGATGAAAAGGATCAGTTTTTTCTTGGGATAAAGAAAAGCCACAGCAATAAGAAAAGTCTTACTTTTATATTAAAAGGGGATTTTAATACAAATTAAATATGTTTTAATTTGTAATTTAATTAACAGACCATGCATAATAAGTTAAGGTACCTATTTTGCTACAGCCCTACTCCAGGCTTTATTCCAACAAAGAATCTTAATTTTCAGTTCTAGAGATTTTCCAGCTATTGCATTCCAAAAAACTAAGAGGACAGCTGTTGAGGTAAATAGAGTCGAAGAAATTTTTTTTGTCTGCTCTTCACATCTCATCTCTGTTAAGCCACAGTCATGAGTACCGGACTTAAGGAGTTTTGGCACAGTTTGATCATTTTCATGAACAGTATAGGAAGCTTACTCCTGCAGAGTGAAAAAAAATCCAATTTTCTCCTTTATCCAACTCAACAGTAAACTCTAAAATAAGCACACATTTCACTATAAGAAAAAAAAGCAGCTATGTATTGTAATAAGGAAAAAAAAAAGTTTAAAATCTATTTAATCAAAATGACTTTACTCACTCATCTTCATGCTAAATATTCACAAAAAATCAGGTCACACATGGTTCCAATTGTGCACATATAAAGATTAAGCAGGTTTACCAATGTTATACCTCATATCTCCACTAAAATATCTCACTCTGAATTTTGAGAAGAAAAACGTGTGAAGATCTCAGAAGTTACCATGACACCCTGCAGAGAAAAGCTCATAAGGTAACAGACAGCATCGTATTCAGAGCAGGATTTGAAAATCTGGGCTCTGTATCAAAAACCCAGAAGAAAATACAAAGGAGAGTTCTTCAGCAAGTGAGCTCCATCATCCTTGTACCATGAACCTAGAGAAGGATGGGGTGGGGAGGCAGGAAAAATTTATAAAGCTACAACATGACATCATTTCACATGCAAGAAAAACACATTAAGATCTAACCAGGCACATTTATTCTGACAATTCATCACATTTGATTGTGCAATTCTAATGAGTCTGTACCACCCTTCGTACGTGAATGATTTCTTGTATTTACAAGAAATGATTCTAAATCATGTGCCATCAGATTGACAGCGACACAATTCCTCAGTGGTATTAGAACTGTTAGTCATTACCCACAGAAGCTTGCGCTTCCCAGATAAAGACAGTTCAAATTATGAGCCCCTGGATTTTTTAATTTAAGAGTTGACAAAAAAGAGATATATTACCATCACTGGTACTGTAGAGAGACTTGCATATCTCTTTAGCTGCTTGCTGTGTCAGCCATGCCGCAATATAACTCTACCCCTTCTTGTTTCATGATTAACTTGTTTCCCCATTCATCTAGCCACCGACTTTGAGGGATGTTGAGAACATTCAAGTATCTGTTTGTAATTTCCTTGTTCTAGTAAGTATGTTCATTAGATAGACAAAAAGATAGCTTTCCTTGATAACATTTGTTCTGCTTCTTTATACAAATCTTCTACCCTGATATTTTCAACGAGTACACCACCAACAATTAATAGAGGAGTTCTCACTTAACACATTCCCGAGAGCCCATGATTTTTTTAATCAGGCCTAACATTTTAATATTCTCATTTAATGAGACATTATGTAATTTTGCTTTAAACACTTCCTCTTGAATTCTTACAGAACATTTAGATGCATACTGAACATCTTCACTGCAGAAAGAGTAATGCAAGTGCTGGGCTTCACAGGGTAATATGCCAACATGAAGACATTGGAGCTTTTCAGTAGTGTCCTTATGCCCTTAATTGCTGCTTTTACACCAAGGGCAATCTACAAGGAATATATTCTTAATAACCCTCCTGCTTCAAGTAAAATTTCTTGGTTTCAGAAGTCTGCCAAAAAAAAAATACTATGAGTCTGTTCTCCAAGTCTCACAAACTCATCATTAGGAGCTCCCCAGTATTTGGAAACCAGCTTCTGTTCTCCTTCGTTAAAATGAAGTAGAAAAATAAAAATTAATGGTGCTCTAATCCAACACTGTGACTCTGGTTGGATTCCTGCCATCCTACAAAAATATGTATCTCAGCCACTACTCACCCTTCTGTGAAAAGCTCCTCTTCGTTCCGTGTCCACCTGACGGATGGAGCTGGAAATCCTGTGGCAACGCACGGGAAAACGGCGCTTTGCCCAATGACTTTTGTGAGGGAAGAAGGCTGCCTCAGGAACACCAAGTTCTGGGGCACCTCGGGATCTGCAAATTGTTTGTAAATGCCAAAGTTGTTACTAAAGGTAGGATCAGAAGATGATCATATTTAAAAAAAAAAAGAGAAACATATAATTTCTTTCCTCCATCTTCACAGGATTAACCCATCATCTTACCCACATAAATGGTTTTCTGTAGGTGACTCTCTCAGCTTCCCACGTGAACAGCTCTTTAACCATTTCCTCCAGATATAAAACCTCGTTTGCCACTACTGGGATCCCACCCCCTCCAACTCCCTGGGAAATCATTTCAGCTAAAAGGTACAGCCCTGAAACTAGAATTTCCATCAGCTAAGAAAAATACAAGTTTGACTGTGTCCAGTCAACCTTGGGCGATCTCCTAGCTTCATCAGGTAGCTGCCTGAGAAAGTGCTTTTATGCCCCAGAAAATCAAATTACTGCAGCAGAGAGTCAACCCTAAGTGAAATGATGAGATGATTTGCATGCTGAAGCAACACAAGCTTTATTCTAAATCAAAAATACACCATGGTTTTCCACCTTTGTGGAAATCTTAGAACCACTTTGGTTGAAGAAGTCCTCCAAGGTCATCAAGCCCAAACATTAACCCTGCTCTACCAAATCCACCTCTAAGCCATATTCCCAAGCAAATGGGGATACGAGGGGAAATGGCAAATCCTCTGAATTAGTTCTGAGTTTGTTTTGAATTGGTCTGGAGAGGGGTTTGTTTCTTTTGTTGCTCCACTGGTTAAAAAGAAGCACAAGCGAAGTGCCTATTTACTCAGTCTTTTACTCCAGGAAGAGACCATCTTGTCTGTGAGAATTGAACACAGACCCGCCAATCGAGGCTGTGCAGTAACGTACTCTGAACTCAGCCACAACAAACATGCTCCCAGGTGTAACATGATGAGGTTGCCAAGGTACTCGAGAGAACGAGTCCAATGGAAGTCATGCTTCAGAACTGTCCCAGGCAAAGGGAGCCACACTTGGAGCAATCCTGGATCACACCATCTGTCTCAGGTCCACAAGCAAATTACTGCAGCAGCTCTGCCCATGTTCCCCATTAAAGGAAACTAGTCTGTTTGCTCCAGAAATAAGATTGTGTGTGAACAGGCGGGTAACACAACGAGAGTGACCTGGAGCAGCATATGGAGCAAGCCAAGCTGCAAAAGCGGGCTGTAACAGCTTGCCAGCAAGCAGGGAGAGGAGTTGGAAGGGTTCACTGGAGATGGAGCTCATCGATGCTCCAAGCTCACAACAGGGAGCTCAGTGGAAACTGGATTCAAAAATTAAGTTGGCTTTTATTCCCCCTCCCCCCTTGCATTCCTGTGTTTGAGAACACCTGCTATCAAGTAGCAGAGCCCAGAGCTGTATCCTCCTGCCTGCTGCGTATCAACTGCATTCCTATCAACACTTTCAGATCATCATCAAGCAAGGAAACAATGTTATCTGTATTCCCTGATGAGAGTTAGCTTTAATCACCTTCAGCAAAACACTGCAAAAGCAAGGAGACTACATCTGGAGCCAAAGGAATGCAGAGGATGAACACAATATGTAAGTTTATCTGGATATCTTCAATTGTCAAAAATCTATAAGAGTCTTAAGCATTTGAGGGACTGCAGAAGCATGAAGGCAAAACTAAAATAATAATGCAACTTTTCCAAAAGTGCTCTTCTTCAAATATGTATCTTCAGTTGAAGAAAAGATAAAGCTTTCTTTTCAGAAAAATTTAAAGAACTTAATGAAACAAATTCCTACCTTAAGCCTGATTCATTTCCAAACATCTCCATTTTAAAAGAGGGAAGGTTGTAACTATAAATTTGGGCTATTTCGAAGTACATTTACCATTATAAATAGAAAAAATTACATAGTCATGAGAAACAAAAATATTTATTGAAAGGGATCTCTGAAGATGCCACCACCTCCTTGAGGTCCACCTGTTGCCCACACTAGATTAGGCCAACCACAATATTGCCCACCCTAGCCCTGAAAGGCTCCAAAGAAGGAGGTTTAGAAACTCTCTCTGGCAGTTCTCCAGGCAGTGAGAACTGGATCAGAATTCCCACATGAAGACAAAGTCAGAAGAGACAGCATGAAGTTCTGGAAATAATTAAGAAAGCCCACACCAAACCCAGCTCATACTTCACTAGTTTGGTAAAGTGCAACTCACATTCCTGTCTTATTCTGGGGCAATTTTCAAAATTTTGTGTCAGGACAACTGGTGACACACAGCTCTGCACAATGGTATCATTCCAAACAGAACACACTTAATGTAGAAACTGTTTACAACGGGACTGGACTTCTGTATTTAAAAGAGATCCAAACATCTCAACACAAGAGGCATGGCTGAAGTTGTACAAATAAGAAGCTATACCCCCTTTTTGGGGTCTGGAGACTTCCCAAAAGGGTCCAGTATTTAAAGAATCAGAACTTCCCAAATATTGAGACTATTAGAAGTGCCTCAGCTTAAGCATGCCAGAAGCCAGGGACTAAGCACTAATTTGTTTAGGAAACTTCAACAGTATTTTAAACATTGGATTCAAGCCTGAGAAACTTAGAAACCCCCAAATGTTTACACTCAAAGTCAACTCCCTCTTTCTAACCTGTCATGAAAGAATTGTATTACTAGAAACTTTTTAAAAGAAATCTTTCAAAAAAACCCAAAACACTTTAAAAGCTAAGCCATCAAATATGTCCAAAAGAATACATGCACCTCTCCTACCCGTCTCCAACCAGAGCAAAGAGCTTGGACACATAACAGATTTTGGTTTTCTGTTTCCCAAATGCAAGATCTAGGTTAGTCTTCCCAAGGGCCCCAACTCTTTTTAAGTGCCTGTGTTCATTTTAAGCTCATCAAAAAACCCCAAACAACAAAAAAACCTAACCATTAAGTGCAACAAGACACATTACACTTAGTTTATTTTAAAATACACAAAAATGCACCAGAGGCAATTCTCATGTGTTGCTCTTTGGCAGTACCCTTGATAGTTCCCACCCCCTGCCCCCCCCTATTGCTTGAATCATCTTTCGATTGCTAAAAGGCAAACTGGAGGGATACCTGGGAGGATTGTGAGCTCCACTTCGTCGCTGTATTTGGGGGGCCCCCCGCTCTCCACGAGGCAGCGGTAGAGCCCTGCGTCCGTCTCGGTGGCGTTGCTGACGACCAGAGCTCCGCTGGGCAGCTGGAAGAGGCGCCGGTCGGGGAGCAGGGGCTGCCGGTCCTGCTCCCACCGCACGGACGGGGCCAGGTCCGTGTTGACCTCGCAGCTGAGGACAGCACTGCCTCCCTTATAGGCTGAGGAGGGTTCTGGCTGACTGGTGAACCTGGGAAGGCCTGCAAACGGGAGATGGAGAAGTTGAAAAAGTCACAAATTAGAGGTGTTCTGAAGAGGACACCAAAGCTTTGATGCTCAAGTTAAGATTCATGAGTTTAATTTTTTTAAAAAAATTGCTCTCCAAGATTTTAACATTTGATAGCATAGTGTTAAATACAGCTGGTATAAAGGCAACTAAATAATAGAAGTACTGATTTAAAACCAAAAACCTCAGTGCAAGTCTATCCAAGAAATGGCTGCACGGCAATGAAGAAAGTGTGAGAACTGCCCCGCAACAGGCAGGTAGGAATAGAGGAGGGAAAGGAGGAAGGGAAGCTCTGGGGGCCATCCTGGGGAGATCAGGAGACAGAAGAACTGGGAATGAAAGTGGGAAGTTGAGGCTGGGAAATGGGAAGAGAGCAGGAATAAGTGCTTTCATTTTTGTCTTTGTTTTCTCTACCACCCACCTTTATTGTAATTAGCAAGAAATTAAATTTCCAAGTCAAGGTTGTCTTGCCTGTTACAATAACTGGCAAGTGATCTCCAAGTCTTGACCCACAAACCTTTTGAACTCCTTTTCTCCCTGCTCCATCCTGCTGAGAAGCAGAATGAGAGAGCAGCTGGGTGGCCAGTCAGCAGCCGGCCAAAGTCAGCCCCCCATAAGACTTTGCACCACTTCCCATAACAGAGAAGTATCAGATCTTCCAACAGAAATACCCTGTCCATCATTACAGCTGGAAGCAAATCAGAGAATCATAGCATCATTCTGGTTGGATGAGACTTTTCAGATCACCATGTCCAACTATTCCCCCAGCACTGCCAGGTCCCCACTGACCCATGTCCCTCAGCACCACATCTCCATGGCTTGGAAACCCCTCCAGGGATGGGGACTCCACCACTGCCCTGGGCAGCCTGGCACAGCCCTGGACAATCCTCAAGGGGAAGAAATTGTTCCTCATGGCCAACCTCAAGCTCCCCTGGGGCAACTTGAGGCTGTTTCCTCTTGTCCTGTCCCTTGTTCCTTGGGAGAAGAGACTGATCCTCTTAGCTCCAACCACCTTTCAGGGAGTTGAGAGCAAGAAGGTCACCCCTGAACCTCCTCCAGCCTCTCAAAGTCCTTCTTGGAGTGAGATGCCCAAAACTGACCCCAGGATTCAAGGTACAGCAGTTCAATAAAGGCAAGAGAATACAGCATGGGCCAGGAAGAGGAAAAGCCTCCTTCCTCCCCATTTTGCACAGTGATTTGCCCTATCACCAGCTCTCCCTTTTGCAGCTCACAGAGGTGGCTCCATGGTCCACGCAGCCATGGGAGGACGCAGCTTGCTCACTGCAGTAACAGCCTCAAAGCTAAATTTTCATGCTTTTACGCTCACACTTAAAACCACTATTGTCACAGGAACAGCCTGTCAGTACTCTTGACGGGGAGGAAAAGGGATGGAGGAAAAGGGATCTGCATCTTGTGCCTCAGCTTCCTAGACAAGTACCTTACCACTTGCTGCTTACCAGTTACATACTGGTGCTGGAATTCCATCTCCTCTAGTTTTCTTTGTCCATATTCACTACATTCCACTGCCTAAGAAAATCTCTAGCACACATTTCTTTAGTTAGATTGTACTTTCTATCATTTCCAGCTTGAGTCCCTGTTCTCTTCCAGGAAAATCCCACGAGTTGGTTGGTTTGTCTTTTCAACTGTCTGATCTTTGCTCTCCATTTTTTTTTTTTTTTAAAGAAATCTCTGGAGAAGTAGCAAGAAACAACATTTGACATCACATGTTCAGACTTTTTTTCACCTGAATGAAAAAATTCTTTCATTCTCCACAGCCTCCTTTTGCTCCTTCCACAACTTCATTCCTCCAAGAAGAAGCTTTCTACTTTTCCCCCTCCTAGTGTCTATTTACAACCAACTTTTAGTCCTTTGATCTTGACCTTCTTTGGTATTATTTTGCATATTTGATACTTGTTCTTTGATATTTATCTGTTATTCCCTCCAAGGTATTCACAGGAATAAAAATCATAGCTTCTTTCAACTTTCCTTCTGCTTAATGAAGTTAGAATCTTTAGCTTCTTTTCATAGAATCATACCACAGAACTGTTTTGGCTGAAAAAGACCTCTAAGATCTTTGAGTCCTCATCCATTTCCAGATTCTCCTAATGATTCTGCCCGTCTATATAGACACAGAATCATCTGGGTAGGAAAGGAGCCAGTCAGAGCAGAGTCAGATACAGGGTCAGAGCAAGTTCCTCGAGGACTTGTCCAGTCAGATCTTGGAAATCCCCATGGACGGAGACTGCACGACCTCTTGGGTAACCTGTTCTACCACCTGACTGTCATCAAGGTGAAAAGCTTCCTCCTCAAATCCAGTCAAAACCTCATTTTCTTCAACTGATATCCAATGCCTCTTACTCCCAAATCACAGTGCCTGTTGTAAAATCACAGACATTCCTGGAAATGGAACAAAATTGTTTCTCTGTGTCTATGGAAAAAGATCTTCTCAAAACATTTAACAACCCCTTTAGCTCTTTGCACACTGGCAGGTTACAGATAATCCTATAGTTCACCAACGAACTGCCTCTTCTCTCATAAAATCACCAGTTCCTCTGTCCAAACTTAGCACAACACCAAGAATATCGCCGCATCTGCTTGTCTTAAACTGTGCTGGTAAGTCTCACTATCATTCAGTCTAGAGCATTATTTAATTCTTTCTATACAACCAAGGCCACAGCAAGAATAACAAGGTCTCCTAAATTTGCCACCCTTGTTAATTTTGTAGGTAAATACTTTGTTCTTACAGCAAAATGACTGATGATGATGATGTTGAATGTGATCTTTCTAAACTCCAGTCTTGGGGGCATCTTTCCATTCTGATAATCTCCCTCTCAATAGAGCCCATTAAATTTTCATAATTGCCTCCGATTCTTATCAATCTCAGTATTCTCATTTAAATCTCTATCATTTTGACCTTTTACGACTGCTAACGAGACAGCAAATGAAAAAGCTGCGTTGCAGCATTCCCATCATGTCATAGTCCTCCAAGACAGCAGTTGCTTTGTCAAAGAACTCAGACACAACCCACAGACAAAAGTCACGTCATGGTTTCCACTTCCTTCTGCCCTAATCACCCTCGCCTTCAAATTCCCCTTAAAAAGGGATTCACAATTCATTAGAAATCTTTACTGAGAAACCTGCATATTAAGCCAATTCTTTCATCAGCCTGGAAGGGAGCCCTGGACCTCCTCGTTTTGTCACAAGCACTGTGTCTTCTGTTTTCGTCTCTGCTGCTGCCATCTCTCTACCCTCTACAACTACCACTTGTACAATCATTGTATCGGTGACTCAGAGCACAAATGAGAATGTTACTGGATTTTTAACAAAGTTCACCTAAGCCTTGACTCAAATCTTTTTCTAGTACTAGTCACTTGGTGGACGAGACAGGTGTTGTACATTCTGCTGTGTGCAGGTGCTCCATGAAGGTTAAATCAGCTTTATTTAAGATGGTTTCATTACTCACTAGCAACAAAATTATAGTTAATTTTCCAGGTCATTTTAAATGCCAGTAAAACCTTTATTTGATCAGAGTCAACAGTTTTTAAAACATCTATTTTAACCCAGGCTATCATTTTGTCCTTAAAGAGTAATTTTCTGTTATCCAACGTTTATTTGCAATTTGCATTGCTGAAAAGCCTCCACTGTGGAGGAGGATCCTTTTGCTTTGGCCAACAGACAACCACAAAACAATAACGATGCATTACAAGAGGTGCTCTAAACACAGGCTTTAATTACTATTAATTCTGGGACCTGCTTATAACCAGGCCTCAGAGTGCTGGCACACCTCCTGCAGCAGCACACTCCTAGCTAATACCCTTTCATCTGCCAGTCCAAGGGCTTTCCACTACAGAGTTACTCTTCTCCTCTTCCAAATACCAACTGAAGCCTTGGCCCAGGCTGCCCACGGAGGCGGTGGAGTCCCCATCCCCGGAGGGGTTCAAAAAACATGTAGACATGGCACCTGGGGACATGGTTTAGTGGTCACAATAGTGCTGAGTGACAGATGTACTTGATCTTAAAGGTTTTCTCCACCCTTAATAGTCTATTAATTGATTTGACTTGTAGACCTGCATTTCCTTAACTTATATTCATTTTCATATCTATTACCACATAAGTGAACTCAGTCTATTTAAACTACAAAACACATTTGAAACTCTTTTTAAAATTCAATTTTTAAAATCTGATGCTTTTAGCAGTTTGTATTTTCCAACCACTTCAATCAACAAAATTCAGTAAAAATTAGCTACACTTCTAAAGAGGACCAGCACCCACTCTTCACCCACACGCTGCAAGGCATTCAGTCAAAGGTACTACACCATCTTTTGCCAAATGAACATAAAAATAAATGATACTTTAGGGTTGTGATATGAAAGACTACTTTTTTCCTTGTTTGTACATACATTAATCATTCTGTGGCAGGACACATACATTATGGATCGATCTTAGGACACAGAAGGAAAACACTACTGACCTCACAGGAACGCAGGTTAATAAACTCAGTTTAGGAAGGCTGATTTTCCACTCAGAATAGTCTCAGAACACCGGTAGGAGAACGTATATAAGGAACAACACAGTTCTCACACGCACACAACAGGAATTAAGATTCACCACAAACTTCAAATTTTCTGCCGGGACAATGCAAATTGGAGGGGTGGGGAGAAGTGAACTCTGCTCCATTTTCTCCTTCCCTTTTGTCTCTACCATCCTCTCATCAAAAGATCAGAGCAGTGGTAAGAATGTGAATGAACAATCTACTTCATGCAGATTTGTTCCACTCAGCCAGCATCCCCAGCCTAAGCATCGCTGAGATTTGTGGCCCATTGTCTCCATTTCTGAAAAAGATGTGCCTAGAAGAGCAATAATTCCCATGCTCCTGGAAAACACAGATGGTAAAAATTCTGGCTGTAGCCTGCTGCTGTCAATGGAGCCAGTATTTCATCTCCTGTACTTTCCAGGAGAGGAGGAATTCATTGC